AATGGGGACCTCTCATTTCTGTAATGCATTAAAAAGCACTAGCTGGCAAATCAAAAGGTTTGCAGGCAACAGCAGCATGGGCTAGTGGTTATGGCAGACAGTTGGGAGCCAGGCCTACGGGCTGTCCCCAGCTGTGCTACGGATTCACTCTGGGGTCTTGAAGTGAGTCACTGAACCTGTCCAGTTGCCCATCAGTGCAGGAGGGACGATAAAATCCATGTCTTCCCACCGCCAAGTGCTTTGAGAACAAAAACTGCCGTTCAAGTGAAAACATGACTGCCAGTAAGGGTGACGTGGTCTCTTTTCAGTCCCTTTTCTTACTAAAGGATAGCACCTGTGCACAGATCACGACTTAGCCTTACACCGGGTGTTGCGCATCTGGAGGCTTGAGCCTGCACTGGGCTGTCTGTGGCCGAGAGATGGTTACTTAGTCCTTTTTGCATCTGAAGAAGTGGATTTTTTACCCACGAAAGCTTATGCCCAAATAAATCTGTTCGTCTTTAAGGTGCCACCAGACTCCTCGTTGTTTTTGTTGTTTTTCGGATACAAACTAACATGGCTACCCCTGATATTTGGTCCTTTCTGCTATTTTCGGCAGAATCTGCCTTTGTTTTTTGTCCTGGAGTAATGCCAAACCACACACATCTTCTCCTGTGTCGCGGAGTGGGGACTGTGTCCGCAGCTCTGGACTTGCACAAGTATTTTGGCTCTTAGGAGAAGAGCTTTGTTCAGACGTGGAGAATTAAAAACTAAAAGGCTGATTATATAATCCATGTAGCCCGTGGGACTGAGCTAGGCTGAAATGAATTACAGACTGCTAAAGACCCCTTCGCTTTTTGTAATGGTGTGTGGTTGCTTATGCAACAGCAAGGCTAGACAGACACCAGGAAGGCAGATCCCTGCAGTGTCTAGAAATGGGCAGTATCCTTTCAGATAATTTGTGAGCCCAGTTGTGTCTTTGTAATGCCACCAAAATCTAGCAGGGTGCACACAGCTAGGCTCTGGGTGTGTGTGTCGTTGGCTGTTTGAAAACCATTGTGCTCATGGGGTTGCTTCCCATCATTATTGTTGGTGTGTGAAGAGCGAAAGACACAAGTTACCCCCTTGCAGTTCAATATTATCCTCTTGGCAACACCAGGCTAGACACAACATGTAAGCAGGACAGCCCCTCAGCTCCCTATCAGAGGGAAATACGATTACCGCAGGTATCCAAGCAACCAGGGCTGTCCAGGGGGTTTATCCCATCTTAAGGCATTTTTTACTCTTACTCCTTCCCCCTCAAATGTGGCTGTCACAAACACTCCCCGGTAGTCTATAGATTTAAGCTCTTTGGAGCCAACTGGCTTGTAGTCTAGGTCTGTACAGCACCTAACACAATGGGGCCAGGCCCAGCTGGGGTCTCTAGGCCCTACTGTAATACAAATTGTAACGAGCACATGGGGACCGACTGGTACACGGACCGGTGCTGTGTCTGCCCTCTCCTCCCTTTCTGCCAAGGTCAGCCACAGATTTGCCTCCTTGCAAGACTCCATTTTTGTTTCTGGTAACGTGAGGAACTCTTTCTCTCCGCGCTACGTCCCGGTTTCAGCATTTCCCCTGTCCGACTGTGTCTCTACCACTGGACTGGGTTTACAGTCACGGACTCTGAATGTGGCGTGCTATTTGTCCGTACAGCTCTTCCCATGCCCTGGTGAGCACCGCGGTGTGGTGTTTGTAAGGTGATAGCCTTCTAGGCACAGAGCAAAAGCAATCTCCCTCATTACTGTTTCTCACTTACATTAGTGTGTGTACGGGGGTTAGTGGTGTGGGTCCCTAAGAGAGGCATGGGGAGACGCTGCAGCTTTTTATACTTAGGTGGCTAGTATGACCTTTGCCCTTAGGCTTTTGGCCTTCTGGGAGCTGTAGTTTGGTAGGCAGTTGGCCATTTTGTTGCAGGCATTGTTGTGATTGGCTAAATTAACAAGTGAGGTTTTCCTAAGAGAGTTTTTGTATCAAAGCTGGGGAAGCGACTGGGTCTGTCTGCAGCATGAACCAGTTAAATGAATTTTTTATTGTTAATTGAGAAGGCAATTTTAATTCTTGGGGGTGGGGCATTATGGGCAATTTCCTCCTCTTAAAAGGGCTGACCAGCTGGGGCGGGCCCCTGGTTCCACAGCCAAGGTTCTGTTGCAGTAGTGGGGTTGTGTTGGGGTGTAGCGTAACCTCTACTGGAGAGAGTGGATTTTCCGTGATCTTCTTGTCACTTATACTAGGGCAAAGGGGGAGGTAAAATGCTCCCAGTGTGAGCAGTGGGGCCTGCCACACTTGGTGCTCAGGTTGCACTGGGGTAAATGGCTACATGAGGTACAGGCTAATGGAGAGTTAGCCATGAGGAAGGTCAATGCTTCCTGGGACGGTACAGTAGGAAAGAACCCAATAACCCTTGTCTTGGGTTATTTAGTCTCACAGGCTTTGGTCACTCGCTCTCTTTTGATGCTTTGTGTGTATAAAAAGATCTTCTACACTTTCCACAGTATGCATCCGATGAAGTGAGCTGTAGCTCACGAAAGCTTATGCTCAAATAAATTGGTTAGTCTCTAAGGTGCCACAAGTCCTCCTGTTCTTTTTGTGAATACAGACTAACACGGCTGTTACTCTGAAACCTAAAGAAAGAAAGGTGCTCTGCAACTCTCACCGGCACTGGCCGTGTGCTCTCCCCAGGGGCTGACCGCTTGGGGAGCAAGTAACTAGGCTGCCTGACTGCAGCTCAGACCCGCTTGCCCGGCTGTCTGGAAGTCCGAGTTCTGGGGGTCATTCTAGAGCTAAACCTGCAGCCAGGTGTGTGGCTTTGCACGTTGTGTTCTGGGAGCCTTGCAGGAACTCAGCTGAGGTGCTGAGCAAACCTGGGCTGTTTTTCAGGTGCTGGGAAAGGATTTATGGTTTTGAATGGAAACTTGGTGACTTCATCCTGAAGCCAGGTTTTTCTTGTCCTAAGGGTTTTGCAAACAAGGCACACAGCTGGGAATCAGGAGACCTGGGGTCTGTTTGGACTCTGCAACAGACTCACTGTGTGACCTTGAGCAGGTCACTCGATCCCTCAGTGCCTTAGTTTCCCTATCTCTAAAACAGAGAAAATACCCACCTCGAAGGGGTCTGTGATCTTAAACTAAAATGTGTGTGGCACATATTGGCATCCTCCAATGAACGGTGCTTCAATGCAGAGTTACAATTCCTGCTAAGGCAGAACTCGGGCTGTGCACACTCACTTGAACAAAAAGAAAAAAAAGTTTGCATCAGTCTCCTATTAACTCAAGCCATTATTTGGATGGGCTCATTATGACTTTATAAACTGCGAGAGCGTGAAGAGTTGAGAGGATGTCACTGACATGTCTCAGGAAATAGCCCGGCTGGGGCTGGAGGGCAGACGTTATGGGACTAACGTTTTTAATACAGAAGAGATAGAAAGCGCTGTTTATTCTGTGAATCTGTGATAAATACATTTTAGCAAGACAATGAGACTGGGGTAGGGGAGGCCCCAGGCTGGGGAAGGAGTGATCCTGGGGGTGTTTTGAGTTTCACGGAACCTCAACTAAAAAAGAATTTTTTTTTTATTTCACAAAACTTTTTCAGGTTTCACCAAACCCATTTTCCTTTAATGTCATCCATTGCTTTTCCCGGAAGACATAATTAACCAGCTAGAGATGGGCTTGGACTCGAGCATCCAATCTGAACCCCCATCCCTGAACTTTGGGGAAGTTCTGGTTCTGTTCTGGGTCTGAAGTACACAGCTTGGGTTTATTGCGTCTCTAATCCCAAACAAGTGTGTGTTTCTACCACCTGCGTTGTGCAAACGAGCGAGATGCTAGCTGGACAGTGATTCTGGCCCCGCTTCTAGAATGTGGGGAATTCAAATACCAATGGGAAAAACTCGGCAGGTGGGTTTTGCTGGAGCTGAATGGAGTTGAAGTGGGTTGGCTTCTAAATCTAGAACCCACGTGGCTTTTGACTGGGCTCTATATTTGGCAAAGCAAGTTCTCTAGAGGAGATTGTTTTTATCTCCAGATCTGAAGGCTGGGGGGAGAGGTGATATTTGACCACACCCCTCAATCTGATGGACTGGGTTAGCATGTCTGAATTCTTCAGAGACTCTGCATTACATTTGCGTGGCTTCATTTCTGGCAATTGGGCCCTCTCTTACCGGACATCCATAAAGATCTCCCTGCCCCGTCAGTCGGCCATGTCACCGGTAACTGTCCCACCTCAATCAGTTAGCACAAGGATGAGGAGGCCGAGTGTCCTGCTCCCACTGCTCCTTCCCGTGGGTGAGTGGGGTTCAACTTCAAGGCTGCTGCGAGTCTGACAAGGGGACTAGAAGAAGAGGGGTTAAAATAGGTCTCAGAATAGCAAGACAGAGGGGCCGGAACATCTGCCTGTCTCCTGTCTATGTGCTCTGACACAGAGTCCTGGGTGAGACTCTACCTGGGTGGGGGCCCCCCAGCCCGGGGGCGGGAGGAGGAATCAAAGGGTGCTGTGCGAAGGCCCAAGTAAGGAAATGTCTGCAGTGAGGGGACAGAGAGCAGAAATGCAAGGAGGGAAGAGAGATTTGGAGGCAGAACAAGAGCAAGAATCCCTTTCTCCAAAGCCTTCGACTGCACTCTGTTCATTTCTCTTTTTTGGCTGCGGCAGGCCTGGGCTGGGGGCCTGTCCAAGGAGAGAGTCGCCGAGGGAAGTCTCCCTGGTTCATGTATTCATGATGAAGTGCTGCAAACCCCTGTGCTCCGGTCCCCTGGATTCTCCCCTCCCACATTCAGATTCTGATTTGTCTGATATTGTGTTTGGCTCTGCACCAAGCTGCCCTTTCCATCCAGGCTCTGCTGCTCTCTTCCCTGGGGCGCTTGGTAGGAATTAACAAAATAACCGGCTTCGGCGTATTTTCAATGACTGTCCATCTCTGGCAGAACTTCCCTCCGCCTCCCCCGCCCGCCCTCCATCCCTGGCTCCTCCAGCAAAGTGCCTGAAGCCACAGTTTGAATGGTTTATTTTTCAAACTCCTAGTTAGAGCTCCGGGTCTCATCTGGGCTGTTGTACATAATGAAGGGTGCACGCTCTATCGAACACAAGTCAGTGATTTTCCCCTGCTCCCCAACTCTCAGCAGCAGGGCTCTGGGCAAATGGAATCACTTGTGAGTGGCCGATTGGTCCTGGAGGGAAGGAAGCCCTAGTCTTCCTGTTTCTGGCTTTGTAGCTCCGTTCATCAACCCCCTGTATAACGAGCCCTTGAGGCGCAGAGTAGCTGCAGTTCTCAATGCAAATCCTAGAGGAAGGATGGTCTGCAAGTGAAGCCATTGGACTTAGATTTGGGTTCAATTCCTGGCTGTGCCACAGATTTCTTGTATGACCTTGGGCAAATCACTCAGTCTCTCTGTGTCCTCAGTTCCCCGTCTGAACAGCGGGGCCGATAATACTTCCCTGCATCACCAGGGGTGCTTTCAGGATCAAGTCATTAACTTTTAAGGTGCTCAGACTTTACAGTGACAGGACTATTGAAGTGCCTAGGTTGATGTTGACACCCTCTTGCTGATCGGTGGTAGATTTTGTGGCCTTGGAAGGCAGCTCCCTGCTGGAGAGGAGATCAGTCCTGTGGAGTCTGGGTATTTTCTTAGTTTATCTTGTGTATTTACATGAGACATACCAACCCTAACACAGGGGGTGTGCGTCACAAATGGCGCACACACCATTCCTTCAGTCCAACAAATGACGCACACACCATTCCTCCAGTCCAACAAATGGTGCACACACCATTCCTCCAATGCTGTGTTGTCTGCAGTAAACTCTTTTTAGCCTCTAGTTAAAATTTTTGGTAACCCCCCTTAGCTGTTCCTTTGCTCCACACATGTTCCTTAAAGGGAGGTTCATGTCATAAAAATAAAATCTGGACCTGTATCGTCTTCAGAAATTCCTTGCCCATGTTTTAATAGCAATGTTAGCTTATGAAATATGAATTCCAAAGGTCAGATTTGTCATGCTGTGTGTGCTGTTTACTTTTTGTCTCTCTCTGGGGCAATGGGAGCAGTCCAGTGGGTTTCACTTTTGTTTATAGTCAGTTTCTGGTCAGTTTCACTCTGGGCTCTCCTGCCCTAGCAGGGGGCTGCAATGTCTGAGCTGCGCTGCCGGGGAGACAACGGTTTAAAAAACCGGTTTCCATGAAATTGCCAAACACACATTTCCTGGCAGCATTTCCATCGCGCTCAGCTTTTCCAGGAGCTTGTTCTGACACAAAGTTAAATCTGTGCCATTAATTAAGGTGAAAGTGCCTCTCGGTCCTTTGCGCTGGCGGTCGGGCTATTCAGGGAAGTGCAGGTGTCCCTGAAATGCTGCTGCGCTGGTGAAGTCCCCTACGGGGACATGCCCTGCACCGTCTTGGCTCAGATCCTGGGTCCGGCCAACCTTAAACAGAATCAGGAACATGAAACACGGGGTGACACGGCCATGTAATAAATCTCTGACATCCTGTATTCCCAGGTAGGCTACAATTCTGTCAGGGAAGAGCTTGCCTCCCTTTGGTGGTTAATATCTACCATGTGAAGGGTCTGAGCACACGCGAGGGAGGGTGGCGATGGGGGAGCGCATTAAAAAGGCGTGGAAGGTGAATCATCCACCGAAGAGACATCAAATGTGACGGAATAACCATCCAAGCTGAGGGCCACCAGGTATTTTATTGGACGAAGGCACCTCTAGGGCAAGGGAGGCTTCGCAAAGCACTGCGTATAACCCTGCGACGTTGCTGTTGGGGTGAAGTCTGCTCTGCACGGGGAAGGGGCAGAACCAGAACTGCGCTGACTCCACCAAAAGGGGAAGGGGAGATGTCAGCAATAGTTCCATTAAAGGATCAGAGAGTGCAGAGAACTGAGAGAGCAGCTCCGTGCGACACTTGCTGGTCCCGGTCTGCAAAGGGGACTCTGAAGGCGGAGCAGGGGGCACATCAAGATGTGGTTTTAGCTGCCGGGGCTGCAGACACTGTGGTGGATGGATGGAATGGGCTGAGCTGGTGGAAAGAGTGCTGTTCATCTCCTCCATCTCTGCTGGAAGTCAGGGCTGGCTCAGTGCAAGGGCCGACGGTCCTTAGCCCAGAGCCTTAGCCTCCCATAACAGCACGGATGGAGCAGTGTCTCCCCAAACACCGGAGTGTTACTTGGGTTTAGGCTGGAGCTGCTGAAGTATATGGGCTAGAAACGTTGCATCTGTATCCACAGCCCATCTCTGCTTCTCTGAAACTGCCGGGCCTGAGCAGCTGGGAACTCCAGCCTGACTGGGGGCAGCGACGGGAGCAATGGAGAAGGGATCCGCGGTGCTCATGCCGTTGGGGAGGGTGGGAGCGAAGTGGGACAAGTCAGGCACCGCAGAGTGTAACATGGGCGCCATGAGCAGATGGATTCTGATTCTCCTCTTGCACTGGCATGAGCCAGGTGTAACTCTGTTGAGTCTATGGGGCCACATGTGCAGGCCCATGGGGAACGCTGTGTGTCTGTAAAGTCCCATGGCCCCTTCCCATCGAGAATCCCTAGTTTGTTAGGCCACAGCCAGAGAAAATGTGAGGACTGCAGGGGGCTACCCAGGGCCGAATGGCCAGTGGCCCCCATGCCTGCTGCTGAGTTTGGGTGCCCAGTTTTACAAGACTTCTATATGCAAACAGCTGGGAGTGGGCCTGGGCAGAAAATGTGGCCCATAATGGAGACGCCCTAGAGACCCTTCAAAAGACTGAGGGAAGTGGTCAAGCCAACAAGGCCTTGTTGAGCTCTAAGCTTTCCACTAACCTCCGATAAACCTGCCCCCCTCCTCCTCCCTCTGGCTGTGTCTTCATCTCATGATGCAGGCAAAGGGGCTACGGAGGGTCCAGGGAGTGTGGGCCCGTCTCCCCTCCCGTCTTTTTGTCACATCAAAGTTGCCCTTTGGCTTCAGAACGTTATTGCTTGGAAGCACTTGCCCTCCACGTACGCTCCACAGGTCCCAGGCTTCCCAACGAGCCAGAACTCGCCTGATCCACAGACTCAAAGGAGTGCCGACGAAAAAAAACCCTAGTGCCTTTTCCTGTACCATCCTCTCCCTGCCCTGCCCTGGGCTCGGGAGGGATGGAGCAGAGGTGGGAATAGGGTTGATCTGAGTCCTTACAGCTGCTTGATTAGAAATGACACTGCCCGAAAAGATATGGAGGCCGAAACAAAATAAACAGCCCTGGTAATGTAATAGTTGTAACCTTTAAAACTCAATTACCAAGGGGAGTGTGGGGGGGAGGGTGAAGTGGAGGGGAAATGCCTTGATCGCTGAAATAGGACTGAGGTCGAGAGGACGAACAAGCTTGCTGCCTTCATCCCGTGGCTCTCTCCTGAGTGTGCTTGTTTGGGGCCAGATTTTGAGGCCGGTGCTGAGGTTTTTCTCCTGGAAGGACCCTGCTTCTGTGGCTTGAATAGCCCATTTCTTGCCCTTTCTCACTCTCAAGTTTCGTCCTTTTCTGATAGAAGGAATAATCTGAGAAGTCAAGGGCCAAATTTTCCACTGCAATCGCCCGAGCTGGGTCTTCAGAAAATGTACCCGCAGCTGTTGTGAGTGCATGCCTTGCATCTGTTTGTGCAACTGGAAATTAGCTCAGGCAAATCAGGTGACTGTGAAAAAGCCCCAATGGGTTCATGTGGAACGTCTCATGCTGCATGCACACCTGTGAGGCTGGCAAGCACAGATGGGTGCAGGAGCATATTTTAGGGGGGCATCTTAGTCTCTGGGTTTGAACATCTCAGCCCAAGAGTGGGCTTTGCACACTTTTTGCAAGGGCAGTTTAAATGTATGGCTCTGAAATCGGTCTGGCTAAAAGGGGGGGAAATGAAACAGCATCCACCAAAACAACCCCTAGAATTGGGACGGTGAGCTGGGGTGGGATTCCAATTCCCGGCCACTCTCCTCAAAACAGCTGATGTAGCAGCGTCCCTGGTGCCCGCTGGGAGCTTCACTTGCCATTGGGACTGTTGCAATGGGGATTCAACGGAGATTGTCAAAGACACCTCTGGGATTACAATACCAGTTTCCCATTTGCTCTAATGGGAATTAGGCATTCAGTTCTCTTAGCAGCTTTGGGAAACACCCAGTCTAACAGAATTGGCGAGTCAGTCACCAGTTTAGCAAGAGACCTCCAGGTGTTTCCACATTTTCCTTATCCCCACTTCATCCTTGGGACGGGATCCACCTTCCGTGGAGTAAGATGGGATCTACTCATTCAATACGAGGTTTCTTCATGCTGTGTCCCTGCTCAGACTGTAACTTTGAGCTTGGACCCAGATTGGTCTGAGAGGGGGGCTCAGTGACCATGCAGTTATCACCCACTTTTCCAGAGACTGGTCGGAGACATGGAGCCTCCTACAGAGGGATGGAGAGTAAGGGGTAATGGCTTGAACTGCTGCTGGAGGCAATGCTGATAATAGTAAAATGGGACGACCGTGACAGTGGGTGACAATTCACCCAAAGAAGAGCAAGAGGGTTATTGATGGTTACTATAAAATCCTTTATGTGGAGTTGGTTAGAGTCCAGAGGCAAACCACCTCTCCACTCGCATGGCAGCTCTTTAAACACCACCTGCTACTACACCCTCAGCCCTTCGAATAAATCGGAATGTTACACCATGCTCTGGACTTCTCCCAACTCCCTTTTTTTAATTACTTGTTAAACTGCTTATTGCATAATCAAAACCCTGATAGAGAAAGCCAGACCTCGCGTAAGCCAGCATCGGATACATGTACAAAGTGTGCACTGCAACCTGCTGGCTGAAATGTCAGAGCCACTTGTCCCCGGGGTGAGTCAGCGGTCAGACTGAGATAGGGGACAGGGCTCGGGTGCTATTAATATGAGAAACTGATCTGAGAACGTCTGCATGTGAACTCAAGGACTTCTGCTTGCCCAGAGCGAGAGGGCCTGGGGTGGATTCATCGTCCATGTAGTGGACAGGCGTCTATGCTGGCGTAATGCTCAAGAGCAGTGCAGCTTTCTGGGTTTAACGCGCCGTGTGCAGAAAGCCAGGAAGCTTTTGGTGCTTGTTGAACACCAAGATGCGTGCAAAAGGAGGGAGAGATCTGGGGCTAGGAGGAATGGGGGTCCAGTGAGTCTAACAGGGAAACGGCTTCTCTGAAAACAGAGAGGGGAACAAAACGCCGATGTTCAGATTCGACCCTGGCCCTGGTTGTGCAATCCCATCTGTGCCTGAAATCTTCCACGGCCCTTCTGTACCAGAAAGGGGCAGGTCAGGTCACAGGTCTCCTGTCGTTGCTGGACAGGTAATCTAGGGACAACCTCCCTCCCTGGCTCCCTGTTAGCACCACAGCAGCACTGGGGGAGCTGAGCTACTGCAAGCAGATGCAGAGACCGACCCTGGTCCGTGCTGCTGCTAATCAGTCCAGGAGTGTGGGGTCATGCAGGAGGGAGTGGGATGTGGCCGGAGGGGGATTTTGTGATGGTTTGGGGCAGGGGAGGGGATTGGCCCTCCCGCACTTTGCAGCCGTGGGGAAGGAGCGCCAGGGGAGCTGTCTGTCCTGGTGGTGTCAAGCCCTGGGTGGCTGTCTGAGCCTGACAGACACTCACTCAGTGGGGCTTCCTAATGACACATCTGTGAATAGAAAAATACAGCGTTTCCATTCGACCCAGGGGTGAAAGATGCTTGTTAAAGAGTCGGGGTTAATGCCCCTTCCCCCTGGGTGAGCCAATAACCTTGCACAAGACAAACCGGGTCTCGGACAGCTTGTCAGGCCACCGGTGACCCCCTCCCTGGCCCAGCGCCCTCTGTTCCTCAGCATGGGAGGAGGGGAGCAAGAAGGGGTGGGCAGCGTCCCTTTGAGGCCAGGCTGCTGGTGGGAAATAACCCTGCAGCAATACTTGGTTCTAAACAACGCAACAGGCTCTGTGGGCAAACCCCCCAAAGGCGCCGTTGGTCGTGGACGCTGAGCGTGAAGTGGCTGGAGAGCTGTGGGTCCAGAGCTCTGTGCCAGCTAGTGCAGGGAACGAGTTGTCTCTGATCTGGGGGGGCCTCCTGCATTTCTGTCTGTTTTCCTTACACTGTGTGACCCGCTCTGGCCCATCATATTCCAGCCCTCCCGGTGAGCATGTTCCATGTTTGACCTCTAACATCCTTTCCCAGCATGAAACACCGAAACAAAAGAAAGCCCCTAGGAAAAGCTCACCTGTTTTACCCACCGGAGATAGTCAGAAAACAGCAATTATTTTCCACAAAAACTTTTGAAGGAAACAAAATGATTTTTGCTTCGTTTAAAAATGTATCGTGGAAGTTTTGGTGTTATTTTTCATCAAAACAATGTGCTGCTGTTGTTCTGGTTTCTTTTCAGAAAGGAGAGAGAAAGGGGACAACGATTAAAAGAAAAACGGAAAATGTTTTGTTTCAGTTTGGAACAGAACTCTGAATCTTCCCGCCAGCCCCACCCGCTCCCTCTTTCCTCAGCCACTCGGACCACCCCTCCGTTCTCCCCATCACTCAGGCCCGTAACCAGGGTTTCATCGTCACTGACTCTGGGCTCTCTCTAGATCCTCACAGGAGGCTTCCTGATTCTTTCCGCAGATTCTTTCTTCCTGATTCTTTCTAGGGTATGGCCTTGCCTAGCCATCCATACAGCTTAAACCCTCGCCCAGGTTCTCGGCATCTTACCCGTCAGTCACTGCAACGTCACCCTCTCTGATCTGGACAGATCCCACCTTAACCGCTCACACCAGTCTGAACTCTGTGGCAAGGGTCTCTTTCCTAGCCCTTCCTTTCGCCCATGCCGTCCCCCTCCGTGGGCTCCCCTTCTCTAGCACATCAGACACAAACTACTTGGCTTCACTTTCAAGGCCTTTCTCAGTCCTGCCTTGCCCACCTGGCCTCTCTCACACACCACTGAGATGGTAGCTCCACCGAGCGGCCCACGCCACCACCCTCCAGCGGTACATCTTCAAAGAAACCCCCCGGTGCTTTCTCCGATGCTGCCCCCTGGCCGAGGAGGAGCTCTCATAACTACCAACAAAGCTACCTCATCGTCCACCTTCGAATCGCTCCCTAAAACCTGCTTCTTCCATGGCGCTTGTAAAAACTGGACACCGCCTGTCACGCCGACCAGCGCTGCCCCGTTGTTTCTTTGGCCTTCCCCAATCGTCTGTATCCATCTGTTGTCTCTTGTCTTATCCTTCGAGGGTAAGCTCCTTGGGATAGGGGCCAGAATTTTGTTGTGTCTACACAGCACCTGGCACAAGAGGGTCCTAGGCAATCCAGATTCATAATAACACACTCCACTCAAACTGAATTGCAACCAACTTTGTTCTGATGAAAAACCAGAACATTTCAAAGGAGGCACAAGGAGGCCATGCATGTTTTGCAGCATTCGGAAAGCCGTTTATAAGAGGTGGAGCCTCTCGGTGAATCCCCCGCAGAGGCCTGAGTGGGCTGTCACTCGCTGTGTGTTGTAACAAGAATGCAACAGGCCCGGAGGAAGGGGCAGATCTGAAACCACCCTAGGATGGTGAGACAATGGATGTGCTGCCATAAAGCTGGCTGGGCTAAGGGGGGGTTTATCAGCACATGGCAACAGGGTCTTCTAAGGAAGCAATTGCAGTGCTGCCCTGCAACAGCCACCCGGGACTGTCCCAGCTGGTTCCAGGCGATGACCGTCTCCGAGCTCCTAGCCTGGCAGTCCGAGGATAGCTGGGCACCCCACAGCATCTCCCCACGCAGTGGGGCCGAGCGGTGCGGCGTGCTATGGGACTGCCTGGGGCTGCATTAATGATTGCAAGGCAGCGGTATGGATGCATCTGCATGCACGACGGAGTGTGAAGGCGCCAGGCTGAGCCTGCGGTGATGCGCCGTGAGGTCACGGTGATGACAGACTGCGGCAAGCGGCGGGTGTGATCCTGGCCCAGGGTACGCGATGGGTCGTGCACAGCAGGGCCCGGGTTAGCACAGGCTCAGAAGTGCTGAGCAGAAGAGGCAGAGCCGTGGGTCCTGCATTCATTGGGTGCTGCTGCAAGCTGCCGAGTTATTCCTGCCTTTAGCTGGCGCCGGGGCAAAGTGTCCCTCTGCACTGCAACTAGGAATGTGCTGCCCAGCTCGGGTGGACACACACCGTGCTCCCTTTGCTCGAGGTGGCAGTGTAGCCGGGGGCAGCATGGGCGGCAGCTCAGGCTAGCTGCCTGGGTACAAACCCGCTGGACCCCCAGGGTACGTGCCTGGGGGCCCACCCCAGCTACGCTGCCATTGTTAGTGCACTAGTGCACGCCAAGCTAGCGCAGGTCTGTCTAGCCGAGCTGGGAAGCAGCTGCAGTGTGGACATACCCTAAGAGGCGAGCACGGAGCTATGTGTTTTGTTAGCATGGGACGACTGCACTTACCACGTGTGACAAAGCGGGACTGTTCTTAATGTTTTCTCTGAATAGTGTGGGGGTGCCTCAGTTTCCCCTGTGCAGTTCTTAAGTATCTAGGGGGTGGGGTAAGGGTGTATGATCGTTGCAGAGCCCTAGAGGGCAGGTGTGTGCAGGGGTCTGGATACAGAGAATGGCCGACACCCTGTTTCCTGGCAACTGATGGCCTGGCCCTTCCCCCCTGCAAGGTGAGAGCTAAAGGGTTGGAGAACAAAGGAATCAGGTGACTTCCTGGCCCGGGAAAGGGACAAAGCCCAGAGGAGATGGGGCTGGAGAGAGTTTCAGTTTGGGGCTGACTGGGGACATGGAGTGAAGGGCAGACGTGGTTGTCTGGCTCACTGGCCCCCAAAATGGACCCAGCTGAGGGGTCCTGTTCTCTGCACCTGCAAGCTCTGTTTTAGACCATGTCCCTGTCGTCTAATAAACCTTCAGTTTTACTGGCTGGCTGAGAGTCACGTCTGACTGCGAAGTTGCGGGGCAGGACCCTCTGGCTCCCCCAGGACCCTGCCTGGGTGAACTCGCTAAGGGAAGCGCATGGAGGGGCAGAGGAGGCTGAAGGCTCCGAGGTCAGACCCAGGAAGGTGGAAGCTGTGTGAGCTGTGTGTCCTGCAGACAGGCTGCTCACAGAAAGGAGACTTCCCCAGAGTCCTGCCTGGCTTCGTAGGGAGCAGTTCCAGAGCATCGCTAGTGGACTCCGAGACACCACGTCTCCCCAGCCAGGCCCATTCTCTGCCCTCCCACGCCCCTCCCCCCCATATCTTCTGCACGTGCAAATTAGGGAGCTGGTACACTGGGGACTTCAGATGTCAGAAACGCCCAGCGCTAACCCTTAGCCACCCCAGGCTTAGCCTCCACTCGCTCTCAGGCAGTAGCCCAGCACACAAGGGAGTGGGGCGTGTGCGTGTGTGCGCGTGTGTTGAATGTGGAGGCTGGTCTTTCTAGACTATGCCCTCTCAACGTACATTACTGAGCTCATAAGCTGACGTTCATTCCATCCACGTGGGCGTCCTCCTCTGTGCACCACGTTCCCTGCGCAAGGCCTGGCTCATGCTCTTCTTGCGCAGACGGGCTTTGCATTTGGGTCAGGAGCTGGCTTGGCAGGTCCCCTTTGGGGAAAAACACAAGTGAGAGCCCAAAGGCAAGTCCATCTTGCCTCTCCAGCTGGCCTGATCCATATCATAGAGTATTAGGGTTGGAAGAGACCTCAGGAGGTCATCTAGTCCAACCCCCTCCTCAAAGCAGGACCAACACCAACTAAATCATCCCAGCCAGGGCTGTGTCAAGCCGAGCCTTAAAAACCTCTAAAGATGGAGATTCCACCACCTTCCTAGAGAACCCATTCCAGTGCTTCACCACCCTCCTAGTGAAATAGTGTTTCCTACTATCCAGATGCTCACAGGGCTATCTCACCAGCCTGCTCTCTCCTCGTCAGCCAGCTTCTGCAGACAGGAGCGTGCCTTCAGGAGCCGGGTGGCCATGTGTCAGTTCAGAAGCAGGGGAAAACAAGGAAGGAAAAGGGTGGAGTGTTTCCTGGAAACACGCTAAAACCAATTAAAACCAGACCCCACCGCAAAAACTCTGTATGCGCCACACTATTCCTAGCTGCTGCTCGGAAGGTCTTTCTCAGCCACTGGCCCTGGGTGCAGCAGGCTCCCTTTGTGGTCTGGATGATTTCCCTGAAGATGATACAACATAGAAAAGAATCAAACTGGTCCGAAACAGAAGCCCAATACTCGTAATTCACACCAATGGGACGGTTTAGTTTTTAGATTTTTTTTCTGATTTTTCTTTCTTCTCCTCCTCCTTGGAGGCCCAAGAGTCCAGGCCCAGAGTCATCTCTCCGCTTAGCTCCAGGTCTTCCTCCTTTCCCTTGCGCTGTAGCCCCAGGCACTGGGTTACAAGACCCTGCTCCTGCTAGGATGTGTCCCTGTTCCTTTGCCATCTGTTGCTGGTCTAATGGTCCTACCAGTTCCATGATGGATTGTTGCCTGCCAGTTCGGAGGCCTGGAGCCTGGCTTGCCCTCTGCCCCACCCTGCTCTGGGGCGCTAGAAGTCTGAAGGTCTTATCATCATGCGTGTGCCTTTTAGAGAATAGCTGGGCCCCTGGAAATAGTGCCATCTGATCCCGTTGAGCTTCCGGACATTGTGCTTGGCAGGATAATAGATGCCGTTCAGGTTCGACAGACCACAGGCGTCAAACCACCAACCTGAGTGGGGGACATAGAAGGGAAAGGTTAGAGAACTCGCCAGACCGAGTTTGGACTTCAGACAGAGCATGAAACTTCTGGGCTCTGAGTTCAGTTTGGTTCTAGCCAAAGGCTTGTTCTTGGGAGCAAGCCTGGCTGTCATTACCCCAGTAGGCCTAGACGCGAGGCATGAATAGTGTAAAACAAAAGGCACAGGCTTCCGCCTGGTTAGAATACACAACCATGGAGACTTTTCCAATTAAATTAGTCAAAAAGAACCGGGTGATTTTAGGAAAAAAAATGTTTCTTGACATTGGAAAGAGTTTTTCAAAAATCAAACCATAAGAAAGTGGAAAAAAAAGAAACCCAGCCCTGAGTTCTCCTGCCTGCACTAAAGCCAGCTTTGCCGTTCCTCGAATCGGGTGACTGGCAACTCGACCCTGCTCCCGCTGGCTTCAGTGGAGCAGGGTGAAGCCCTGTGTGAATTACAGGCCGCGGCTGAGATCGCAACCCCTGGGCTTGGGTGCTGTACACACACAGGGACAGGAGCAATGCAAATGTGAGAACCCCAGGTATCAGGAGCTCCTGTACAAAAAGAAAGTCTTAGCACTGAAAGGACAGGGTTGTCCCAGCCAGTATCCTATCACTGGCAAAGTGTGGATAACCTCGCCCTGTGGATGCCAACCCTTGGGGGATCCTGGACCATGTTCCAGCAGTTCAAGGGTGTAGTAATCAGTACATTTTTCCTGGCCCGGGAAGATTATGCCTCATGGCTGTGATTATGCGTGTTCTTGCATCATAAGGGGAATGACCTTCAGAGAACCGCCCGGCACCAGGACATTATGATCCTGGTGGGATTATTCTGGCTTTGAGATTGTTCAGACATGGGCTCTTATTGTGCTGTTGCTGTGCCAGGGCAAGTCTGGTTGGAGCAGGAGGTCCAGGTTCTGGCCCATCTCCATCGTCAACAGAGAATTCAGGGCCCGCCCGAGAGAGGAGCAGGAGACAAAGGGCCAGATCCTCCGCTGCTGTAAGTCTAATGCAGCCAATGGGGCTCTGCTGATTTACACCAGCTCAGGATCTGGGCCATGGAGACCATTCTGAAACGTGTGGATTTTCCGCGCCCCGCCTGGTGGGGATTCCAGGCTCCACCATTGGACAGGCACGTACATATCCATCCAAACCAATTCCTTGGGCTCATTTCAAGGGCCCCAGCTCTGCTCCTGGCTTTAGTAATAACCCCAGACAAACTAAGTCGGATCCGGGTAATCGAACCCCTGGCTGAAACGATCCGAGCTAATCCCCTGATCCGGGATCCCCTCCCCATCCCGGCACAGACGGCTGCCTTGAGTCCGGCACTCCTTTGCTTGAAGAGTTGCCAGTTGGCCAGAAGCATTGAGCCTCTCTCTCTCTCTCTCGTTATTCCTAGTCCCACTGTTGCAGCAAGGCCTGGGCATGTGTCTGATATAGATCTGCTGGCCCAAGGCCACAGGTATTTGCCGCTGCAACGTGGGGGAGAGCTGGTTGTATGGGGGTGCAGGGGGGGACCTGGTGGGACAGAAGGATGCTCTTCCTGTCTCCCTGTCTTGGCATGCCCTCCTTGCTCACCAGCCTTCTGTCCTGGTCTCTCCCCGTTCTGATCTTTCCCCTCTTATTTCTCTCCCCTCTGCTTCCTTGCCATTTCTGCTCCTGAAAGCCATCTTGGGACAGGGCTGCCCTGGCACCCGGGGTGGATGGCAGCATTTTGGAGGTTAGTTGGGTGACAGGGAGTTTGTGGGTGTCCCTCTCCAAATGTGAGTGACTTGGCAGCCCTGCATAAAGCCAGGTGGGGAATGCAAACAACTACAGCCTTCGACTGCCCGTAGAAAGCACAAGCCCAAAGCTGGGGTCCCCTGCTGGGAGGGGAGAGAGATGGGCACGAGGCAGACACTAGTCACGTCTCTTAAACCACCTCTGGAAGGTTCTCAGATACTATGGAGAGGGGCCCAGCGTAAGAACCTGACTAGAACAGAGTGTGACAACATCCGACCCTTGGCTGCGGCAGGCGATCAGACTCTTGGGCTCTGTGCATGTCTAGGAAAACTGGGTGAAGAGAGACAAGGGAGAGCTCTCGCTCAGACGTCCGTCTGTCTGTCTACATCCCTCCCTTCCTCATCACTGTGGTGTATTTCTGAGAACACTAGACAATGAGATTCACTGAGAACGGAGCATTCCCAAGAATTCAGCCTCAGTTGCTCCATACCCTGCCCCCATCTGTCCACCACAGCAAACAGGGCACGTGGGGAAGGCTGGTCCCAGGCCCCCCTGCACCGAGGGCCCGCTGCACCCACCTCCCGAAAGCATCTGGGCGCACTTGCAGAGGCAGTTGTCGTTATCCGAGTCGCGGGTGCTGAAGTTGGTTCCCTGGAGGACCATCCCACTCTGCTGCCCAGCGGTGCCGCTGTAGCCCTTCAGGGAGATCCTGGAGGACCAAAGCAGAGAGAGGGCGAGACAGGGGGCAGAAAGAGGAGAGGAGGAGAAAATGAGGCAGAGCACAAGAATTACTTTTCAAACTCCTGTCAGCGTTTCCTGGGGTTTATTTAAGAAAACGTTCCCCTGTGTCCTTGCAGATAACAACGAGCAGAGGCAGATAAGGGAGCAATCCCATCCCAGAGTTTATCAGCAGTGCCGAGCGATCCAAATGTTCTAAACCCTCGCAGGCTCCAGCCGGCCGCCAGATCGGGTGGTGCTGCCAGAGCTCAGGAGCTAAGCTGGCTGGAAGGCCGGGGTGCTGTCTGCAGCAGCGCTGACGACTTGGTTCCCCGCACTCGCCTGGGCTGGCACCGAGAGGGCCTCCCCACTTGTGGCCCTTCTGTCCTACACAGAGTCCCATGAGTCCCGCAAGGTGCTCTGGCCCCAGTCCAGCCAAACACTGAAGCACAGGAGCGGCTCCAACGAGACCACACGCTTTTTAAAGTGAAGCGTGTATGTTAGTGTCTTGCTGGGGCAGGGCCAGAGAGCAGGGCGCCTGGCAGGACTGAGGCCTGAAGATACTGTGATACTTTTAATGGTGCTTTTAATACTGGTCTCCTGGCTGACTTTCAGCCGAGATTACTGTGCTCTGCCTTGTGACTCCCTGCTCCTGCAGCTTCAGCTGGCTAGTTTTTACCTGTGATGTTAATGAACCGTTGGAGCACTTGACCAAGGGGGGTGGTGGATTCTCTGTCCCTGGCAGCTGGGATGTGTTTCTGCAAGCTCTGCTCTGGGAGCGATTGTGGGGATGGTGCCTGGCCTGTGTTATGCAGGAGGGCAGAGGAGATGATCACAGTGTCCCCTTCTGGCCTTGGAATTTAGGCATAGTCGTCTTCGCTCCCGGTCCTAACCTGCAGCGCAGGGTTTCTGGGATGGGGTTTGACGGTGGGCAAAGCAATCCCTCTGCATTCTGCATCGCTCAGCTGCCTTGCCCCCCGGCCTTTGACCCCTCTGGTGACCGGCGTTCTAGCATCGCCAAGCTTCGCTGTTCTAACGGGCAAGCTCAGGCGATTATCCTCGGCTGCTGAAGGGTTGCAGAAGTGGAGACAGCGTCCGTTACAGAGGAAGAGAGCTAATGGGCACATACAATCCCCCCAAACTGGTCCCCTCCCCCCGTTCTGTGTCTTTAGTCGATTGTGTTTGGAAAGTGCCTGAGCTGTGACCTGTGTACCCCGATGGAACCACCCATGGCCAGAGCTGCATAGCCTGGGGCCACCCTATCCCTCCTTGCAGCTGGATATTACTGGGACAATTAAAGGCTTAGCTACCTGACTAGGAGTATGAGCTGCAGTTACACTAGGTAAGGTCAAATTTTGAGGGAGGTTAGGATCCAGTCAGGGCTCAGCTCTGAAGCAGGGATCCCCAGAACCAAACCATAGACCAGGAGGCCCTCTTCAGCAGGGTCTGGGCTAGCTGGATTTGTGTCTCATCTTCAGACTTACTGAAACTTTACTGTTCTGCTGGGGCCATTTTCATAATAGGGGGTTTGGAGAGAGGCAGCCAGGGGCTTGTCCTCAGTTTCCCCTAGACAGGGAGGGAAGAATGAGTCTCCCAGAGTTGGTCAGCTCCCCACCAGGACCTTCAAAGGGCACCTGCTCTCTTTCTCACTTCGCTTTTCCCACAACGCTTCAGTGAAAACCCACAAAGCCTCAGCACTGTATTGATTTATAAGCTGAGCTTTAAAGGTTGCCATTGTTTCATGACTTGATAATGGTTCCGGATACAGCAGCTGGATACGTCAGTTGTATTTCAGAGTAGTGGAGCTTGATTTCTTGCTTTCGTTAGATTTTTTTGCAGTGAGGCCTCTTAGTTTTGCACAATCATTTGTTCTTTTTTGTGAGCGCAGTTGCAACAGCTGCGTGCACAAATCTGAAATGCTGCTTATGCAAACAGTAGCTTATTGCTTGATCCTGTGAGGGGCTCCGAGCACTTTGACCTCCGTTGAAGCCCGTGGGAGTTTCAGGTACTCAGCACCTCACAGGAGTGCTCAGCACCTTGCAGGATTGAACTCTAAAACCCAGCTGTGCAAGTTGTGGCCACAATTACACCTGGAAAAGTACATGTGCAACTAAGTGCACACCCAGCTCAGGCCTCGGTGTGTGCAAAAAAGCAAGAAAAAGAAATCCTTTTTCCTAATGCAATTTTATGCATTTTTTTTCCTTCCAGAAAATTTATTTTGGCTTCCAAGAGGAGAAAAAAGGACAATGAAGCAACACTTCTGACCACAAAGTTCACACTGAAAAATCACTGCAAAATTGCCACAAATTGACAAAATACCAGGAACGCACAAAATTTCATTCTGCAGGCCACTGTGATTCAGAGGCTGCTGAGATGAACAGCTTGGTAAAGAGGGTGAAATGCAAAACCCTAGAAACATCGCTCCCAATGTACTGGTTCCTTCCCCAGCTGCGCTGTCTAGCTCGGCCTCTTCCACAAACGTTGGGGGCCCACCAGCTGGTGCTGTGATTTTGGCTTCAGTAGGATTCACATCGATCCCTGCATGGCACTGGGGGAGTTTCCTTGTCTAAGTGGGGTTTGAAGAAAGACCCAAGGGAGCATTTCACTGGTCAGTCTATATCCCACCTGTAAAGATGACGCTCGCTGCCCAGCTGGAATGTCTCATAATGGGCGTAGGCCTGGTTTCCTTCCCAGTCCAGGAGCTCCACTCTCAGCGAGTAGGAAGCCTGGCTTGTCAGGAGATGCACAGCTTCGTTCCCCAGCCAGTACTCCCCGGCAGGGTCTCCAAAGCCCTGTGGAGGAGGAGAGCCAACGGTGGGGAGGATTTAGACTGTGTCCCTGGGCTATGCAGTGTCCGTTATGGTCAGCAAAGGGAGGTGGCAAAACTCCATCAGCTTTAGAAATACCGGAGCAAATTCTGCCCTTGGTTACAGCCCTGCGTCCCCAGTGAAGTCACAGGGCTGCATGGGGGTAGCTAGCCTGTTTATCTACCCCTGCTAATCCAGGATGGAGCTGGGAGAAATGTTTCAAATTTCAACGTTTTGATGAAATTTCCGAATTCAGGGGGGAAATGGGAAAACGTTGACATGTTTGCAAAATTCATCTCTGTCATCCTGTCTAGAGCCGGAGTCTTCTCTCTCCTGTTACCCTGGCAGCCAGCAATTTTCATTCACCTCTGCCCACCAGCTCTTCTCTGTCTGGCCCTGGGAGTCTTATCTCTAACACCCCCTCCCAACCCCCCGAGGTCTGTGGTCCTTTCCTGTTATAGCTCTGTGGATTCTAGACGGCAGATCCATGAGACCTGACATGGGTCATGGAGCCTGTCCCCCTGCCGTCTGCAGAACTATGCCCTGCAACATCAGTCTCAGCTACTGTCTTGTGTCCTCTCCTTGTGCATGTGCTCAGTGGTGAGGCTGCTTTCCCGGGAGTGTATTGCATTGCCTAATTGGGTACCCTGTTAGGTTTTCTTCCCACTGGGTCTTTTCTTGCCTAAGTGGAAGGGAGCTCTTTAGTTCCACCCAGTGCATGCCTGACGTACAAGTGTCCCGTCTCTGCACAACCCACCCTCTGCCCCCAGGGTTGTCCGTGGGTCAGTTATTGAACAAGTCTGGGGGGAGGAGGCAGGAATGAGGTCAGACCTGTTTGTATTCTTTCCACTTCCTCTGGAAATTCATGCTGCCATTGGCTCGGCGCTGTATCACGGTCCACCCGCCTCTATCTGTCTCCATATCGCAGAAGACCTGCAGAGGATGCAAACAGCCAGTGCTGCAGGGGAGGGATCCCGGGGTGGAGCGGCACAGACAGGTTGTACTGTGCAGGGAAGAAGTCAGGTCAACACAGGTCTTGTGGCTACGGCGTGGTGGGAGCCAGCTCCCATTGACAGGGTGTTTTGCAAGTCGGGACTGAGATGCATTGAGCAGACTTTGTGGGGACCAAGAAGTGGCATTGCTTTGGGGAGCCCTACTACTGACACACGAGGGCTGGCATGGGAGAGGCCTGAGGTGCATCGGCATGGCAGCAGGTAGGGAAGATTGGCAGACTTGCCTTTGATAGGGCCCATCTTACTCGTTCTTGGGCGCTAAACTCCATTCAGTGCAAGGCCTGCGCCCTGTCCTGAGCCTGTCACTAACCTTCCTGGGTTCCGTCATGTTGGCGATGTGGAGGGTGTAAACCCCGCTGGCGTTAAACCCGGCTCGGCGGGTCTGAGCACAGTCCTGGGACACCTGCTCTTCCTTCGCGAGGGGAGCTGGCAAGGCAAACAAAAGCAGCAGTGACCTGGGTTCTGATCTCCGGGACTTAGGGTAAGGAACAGAGCGAGAGGGATTCTGTCTATTTCATGGCCTGAGCACAAGCCCAGGAGCTAGGAACACCCCAGATGGTTCTTTTATTTGTATGTTAATAATTTGTCATCAATAGTCTCTATTAATCGCCTTTTCAAAGCCTCCCGGGCCCCTCACATTTACAACCCAAACCTTCTTTGTCACCATACAGCTGCTCCAAGAGTAAAAACACCTTTAAAAAGAAGCAAGGGGCAAGATCCGACACAGGGGAAGGATAGGGGTTAGAATACACAAGGAGCCGATGGCTTCATCCCCCATAGCCTTGCGCCCCGTGTAGCCATTTGCACTAGGGGAAAGATGCTTCCAAATCCGACTGGCGGCATTTGACAGCACAAGGGGGAATCAGGCCTCAGCCAGGTGCAACTGAAAACCAGCTTCAGGAAGAACGATTCAAAGGTGCTGTCTAAACACAGGGAGGTCGAAGGTCAAGAGAAAGAACCTCCGCCCTGCGTTCCATTGCAGCTAAGGTGCTATCCTCTGCTGCCCTACGATGCATCAGTGGGGTCTGGCTGGGAGGCATCAGAGCAACAAGCAGATGCTGCCATCCTAGCCTCCGTCTCCGTGCTTGCAGCAGGCAGACTCTGAGCTGCGTTCCTCTGCTGTGCCAACTCCTCGGCCAAGACAAGGGCTGGAGTCAGACTCTGTTCACTTCGAGCCTTAGGCACCCGTCCCTCCCGTGGGAGCCGAGATAACATGGAGCTATTTCTCTTGTAATGACTGGAAAATAGAAAGTGTAGTTTGATTGCCTGGCTCCATCTCAGGAAAAGTCAGTGTGCTTCAAAAATAAATAGGATGAAATCTTAACAGCCCTTTCCCCGTAAAACCATCTTATTTACAATGATGGCATTAGCTTCTTGGCTGTGACTCCGTCAAAACACTGAAGCCCATTGGTTCAAGTTTTACTGACTCACTTCAAAGGGAGCAGGAGCTACAAGTGTCTCGGGGTTCGATCCTGCAAGATGCAGAGGGCCCTCAGCTCCTGCTACGGGCAGCAGGTGCTGAGTGTATGCAGGATCTCTCCGGGGTGCTGAGCATCATGGAGGAGCAGGCTCTTGGAGACCAGATAAAAGAAGTGTCAAAGCAAGCGTGTTAAAAGGAATGTTCATGGCCTTAAATTGAGCGTGCTTACATGATGCCAGAGTTAGGGAAAGGAGCCCTGGTGCAAGTGAGAATTGGGCCTCTGTATCTCCGAGCACTGTGGATTTGCTCTGGTTGGGCCCTGCATCTTTGTTGCTCTTTTCTTCTTGGGTTAGATGTTTGTGGGTTCTAATTGATTATCTTTCTTTCTTTCATGGTCTCTTTGTACGTCTGTGTGAGCACAATGTCTGTGCCACCTCGGGGTCACAGATCCCCAGACTAAACCTTGAGGATTTAACGTGGGTGGGAAAGGGACTACACAGAACAAGGTGGCTTAGTGCAAAAACTTTTCACCCTTGGAATCTTGGGCACTGGATTGCTCTGTGGCGCTTGCGGACATATTTAAAGCAAACCCTGACGGTTCAGAGCTGTTTCTTCTGTCTGTCTGTCTAATCTAGCGATCGATTGATTGAAATCTACCACACTTCTAATGTAACCCTACTATAGATTGACCAGCAGTAATTATTAGAGAGGGCCCCTAACTCTGGCGAAGTTGGGATCTAGATTCAGGTTTAAATCTGAGCATCTCAGCTTGCTTGCCCTGCTGTCATGGGATGGGCCAAAACCTTGGTTCCTGGCTTTCCCATCAGCCGCTGCCTGGCGTGCATTGTTCTGAGACCAGGCAGAAGGTGGTGCTGGACAGACGGAATGCCGAGGAAGGCAGGAGCAGTGGTAGCAGAGAGAGGACATTTTCCAGTTTTCTAACCCAGCTTCTCTGAACACCTACTGTCGCTAAGCAATGTGAATCGAGAGGTCTAGCCGTCATTTCTACTGGCACTCCGGGCACTGCTGCGAGGAAGATCACACTGCTGCTGCATGAACAGGGCGCTGGTCAGAGGAACATCACAGGGCAGGGGTCCAGCTAACACAGGACGCTAGCGTGGGGAAGTTTGCACTCTGTTATAGCTTCTACTGACAGGGAATGGGGCCGTTATCAGCGGGGAGTTCCAAGGAGCGTTAGTCGCCCACAGAATCCGGGACGTGCTCTCTTCCCCAGTCAGTGACACCCTGGCTGAAAGCCAGGAGGTCTGTGCAGCTCTGGCAAGCCCAGGGCTCTCCTGTGGGATGAGCTCACCTTTGCCCTGCGAGACCAGCTGGACCAGGCTCTGGACTGACTCGAGGAGCTCCAGCTGCTGCCGCTGGAGTGAGCTGGTGTTGCCGTTGGCAGCATGGAGGGACTTCTCCAGGTCCTCGATCGTGTGGCTCTGGTGGCTGACTAGGCGCTGCAGCTTCTCCTTCTCTGTGCGGATCCCTTCCAGCTCTGCCTGGTGCTTGGTCTCCATCTCCAGCACCCGTGTCTCTAGGATACTGCAAAGGGACAGGCCAAGAGAGGAAGGGTGAGGTGCTTGCCCGGGGGAATCTTCTCCCCCTGGGGGTCCGCACGAGCCACACAACACCAAGGTTAACAGTCAGACAGCTGCTAGAGCCCACTGACATTCATAGGAGGCTTTTCACTGACTTCAAAGGATTTTGGCTCAAGCGGTTACTGAGGTTCTCTGTGTGGTTTGCGGGCCCCCCCAGAGGCTATGCTGGTCTTTCATGAGCATGACTGGGGGGGCTGCTTTATCCTGAGAGCTGGAGACAGTTCTTCATCCCACGAAACCATTCCTGATCTCCCACTTAACTCAGTCAAGTGCCTCCCTCTTCCTAGATGCAAATCTTTCTACGGTAAAGCAGCCGAGAGAGAGCACTGAACTGAGCTTGTGCTACTAAAGAGAGCTCCCGAGCTCCATGGGTTGGGTGGACATGGAAATAGCCGCTGAACTTTCTCTAGCCCAGGCAAAAGCTCCAATGTCGCATTTGTAAAATAGAGCATCCAGGAGTTAGTGCTCTGGCTTCCCAGAGCTATGTTGTCCATGCAAATAGAGATTTGCACCCTCAAAATCTGGAAGATGAGTGTCCAGCTAGCTAATAGGCATGGCTAAAGTCCACTTGCGTGTGCGGTTTTTGCTGGTCATGTCAAAAAATGTGTCTCTAATCCTTGCTCATTAGCTTGTGCAGAGAACGATCACATATCATCCTATCTCACACCATGTTACCTGACTGACAAAGCGGCTGCAGGAAGTGAGCAGTCTTTAAAATGCCGGCAGAGTGAAAGGGCTAATATCTGACAGGGGGGCTGCTGCTGTAGCCCCAGATCACGGTCTGATTCACAGGGCTCCTGCCCCGAAATCTCTGCCTGCTGCTTTGGCAATGGAAAGGTACCACCGAGGAGTAGTGGACAGACTAGCTCACGTGTATTAATCCGTCTTGGTGACTCATTTTATTTACGTCAGGATTCAAACTATTCAGATCAACCTGCCAGAGGTGATGAACAAAGTACAAAACCCTGGACCGACAGGTCGTTTTCCGCAGGGTTCAGAATGGAGCAGCGGTGCAGCCAAGGGAGCTGGCCAGCATGTGGCTTGTTTAATAACATGCGCAGTGGGTGCATTTTAAAAGTTCGTTCTGGTTTTAAAGCTATTCCCCATTCCTGTGATATTTGCTACCCTTAAAGCCGGGAATACGGCTAGAACCCACTCAGGCTGCCTCTGGGAATCCGTAAGAAGCTTCTGTCCTTCTGCCTGGCCTCGCCCTGCCCCGCTCTGGGATAGCTATTCTGTTCGGGGCAGTTTTTCAAAGGCCCAAAGGGCAGTGGGGCCCAACTCCCATTGGAAGTGCCTGGGAAATGCGTGCCTAACGCTCACTTATCTTGCAAATCTCCCCTCTAGTGATCTTGTTAGTGCCACCAGCCCCCCCACTTCTCATCCGTGTTCATTGGTGATTCGGGCCAGGGGGACGATAGACCCACCTACCCCCAGCTCCAGGACAGGGATTAAGTCCTGACAACAGCTGGGCCTTTCTCATACGGAAAGGAGACAACAGTGACCCCCAGCTCTACCAGCTCTGGAGCTCGGTGGTTCTGGCAGGGACTCGGCGGCCGCAGCAGATGAAGATTAGACAGCTCCACCCAGGACGGCAAATGCTGAGCGGCCCCCCTTTAGCAGCCGCCCTGGCGCCGAGCCCACCCAGTGAGACTGTCCGGGAGCGAGCCGAGAGCAAACATTCCACAAACCCAAAGCCGAGAGCAGGGAGCGAGGCACATAACACGTGAAATCATTGCATTTTCCAGCCCGGGGGAAGCAAAGAAGCACGGACGTCACACGGGAGTCAGAACATGGGAGCACGTGGAGCACACAAGGTGCCACGGTGGGGCAGGACCCTGAGCAGGGGAAGAGGAACTGCATGAGGAAAACCAACAGGAACTGCATGAGGTACTGGGACACGGTAGCCGTCTGGGGCAGGTTCCCACACGGTCCTGAAAATAATTGTACCCTGACAGAGGTCACCATAAAATGTCAGCGTTTACCCCTGAGAGCTGCTGCTGATTAAAAGACCCTCCTTCCTCACCGTCCTTTTAAACATCTTAAAGAGACAAGAGTCGGTCAAGGGAACCAAAGTGAAACCTCAGTGGTCCTGAGGCTGAGAACCATACTTGTTCATGTTCTGCAGCTTGTGAATTTCATTCGTCTGCAGCAGCAGCTGCTTCTCCAGCTTGTTGGTGGACAGGGAATTCTCCAGCAGCTGGATCTCGATTCGTGCGGTTTGGTTCAGAACCTTTCCGAGGAGCAGTTGGGAAGAATAATTAGTGGGATCCCTCTTCTATCTCCCAAATGTTCCCTCCCACTTTAACCTCCCCTGGTTTTTCAGCAGCGTTACCAGCCCCGGTATGATATTTCACCACTGATGCACTACACCAGCTCCAAGGGAAACCAGTTTAGATGGAGCATCCATTCAAGCCAATAGAATGTCATATCATGCATATTGGCCGCAGTGGAGGAGAGCATATCCTGGTCTTTCCAACACAGCGGGCCATAGGAGTAATAGGGAGCAGAGGTTGATTGGATGAATTATGTGATCCCTGTTGGTCATGCTAGCCTAAAAACTTTGCACTCAAAACCCATGGTCTCTGCTTCTTTTACATGGACCACATCGGCTCCATGAGTGGGACTGTCAGAGCCCTGTGGGGGGCTTTGGATGTTCCCTTCTCATTAATTTTCATGGGGATTGAGCAGCCAAATCCCTTTAGAAATCTCAGCCCACCCATAAGGCACGTGAGCCATGAGTTCTTTGTGACTGATCTGCCCCACTGGCCATCCGAATCCTGCACGCTGCAGATGGGAGCCACGCGAAAGTCCTGGGAGCCACATAAAATGGCTTTCACTTCACCCCCACCCTTTATCTAAGCAGCTCAAAGCTCTTTACAAATGTGACTGAACTAAGCCTTGCAACTCCTTTGGAAGACTGGGGACATATCATCCCCCTTTTACAGGTAGGGAAACTGAGGCAAGAGGTGACGTGATCTGCCCAAGGACGATCACGCAGGGAGTCAGTGGCAGAGCTGGATTAGAGCCAGGCCCCGTGTCTCCCTCAGGGCAGCCATGTGTGTATCTGGTACGAGCTGTTTCCCAGAATGCTCCTGCTGTACCTGTGCTTCCACAACCGTCAATTTCCTGCTCTGCTCCGCCGTTTGGTTCAAGAGGTTGGTACCGATCTCCAGCATGGCGGCTGTTTGGTTCTGAGCGACATTCTGCTGGATCCGGACCATCTCAGACTTCACATTCATCTGCACGTAGCTCTCCAGCTAGATCAGGGGAGGGAGGGGAAGCAGTCTGTTATTATTACATGGTATCAGAGCTCTCCTTATCCCCAGCCCAGCCTGCCACAGACACTCCCTCTCTTCATTCTATGGCAGCAATGTTTCCCTCTCTCTGGTGAAATCACTCCCAGCCCCATCTCCGGTGAAACACCTTCGACTCCCTGCCGTCCAGTTGGTGTTAAGCCAGCCCTGGTGTTACTGGTCAAAATGGTGGCTTGGGGAGGAGAGAACATGGGGCTGTTGCAAGCGTTTCACCCTGGCATAAACTCACTTTGCCCTTTGATGTTTATCAGGAGGACAGTGTGTCCTGGCCGCAGCCTGGCCTACTGGCATGAGGAGGTCCCCTTGGAGAAATTAATCTCACCAAGATTCTCTGGCTCAGGAATTGTTGGAGACTTGCTGTGTCCTTAAAACCTCTCTCTGCCCTGCTCCCCTCACTAATCTGAGTGATGAAGAAGGGCCCCTTCTCTGCACTAATGAGGGAATGTGCACTTGTGATCGCAGATCTATCCCCATCCCGCCCGTGCTCACACTCTGCATTAGCCGGGTGACACACTGGAAGGCTCTGCTCTTCCATGCCTTTGGAACATCGGTAACGGGGTTCGATGGATGCAGGATCAGATGTGCTGAGGGCCTGGGGCTGTCCTTGGCTTCATCTGGCACTGTGGGCACTCGGCAAATCTGTAGCTCAGGCCCCCACAAACCAATGTGATGCACGTGAAACTCACGTGGGGCAGACCGTCCTCAGCCCAGCTCCACTGAAATCCACACAGCTGAGCTTATGCTGATTTGCACTAGCTGGGGCCCCGGCCCAGCATCGACAAGCCTGTGGAAAGCTGGAAGCATACCAGCAATGGCATTCTCCAGGAGATATCAGATTCCTTGGGCTCTCCCTTGCCCCATCCTGGCATCGTGTGATGCTGGTGCAGAGTCCTGCTACTACGGCAGACTCACGGCATGGCATCCCTGCTTCTCGGGACGGCTGGAGCCAGAGGCTCCCCATCTCGAGTGGGGCAATTCAGAAACATGAGTTGAAAACAAAAGTCCACTTATGCAAATGCATCCCCAGGGGTTCTTGGAAAGAGAGCTGGATCTGCGTTCACAAGACCTTTAGACCAAGGCCTGGGTAGCCACCTGCAGTGATTCTGGGCTCTCCGAAGCAGTTCATATTTGGCCGCCCTGTAAATGACAGGCTTGCTTGGCCAGGCTGAGAGAGAGCTAAGCTTGCACAGCTGCGCTGGGAAACAGGAACCCTAGCGCGGCAAAGGCCAGAAGACAGACAGAGCTCACCAAATGGACGATGTTTTAACTCTCATGATTCGGGGGCAGGGGGCTGACTCATGATATTTGAACATTTGGGGTCGGCCATACGGAGGCACCACTTCACCGACTCTACCGAGGAAGGGCCACTGTCTCTTGCGGGCTGGGCAGGGATTTCAGTCCTCAAGGCTCCCGTGCTGCTCCATCAGCAGTCTCCACACCCGGATTTCGTGAATTTATGGCCTTTCCCTATACGTCTTGCTTGTTTCATTATTTTATCTTTTCAATACGGTCCCTGGGAGAAGGGTTTATTTCCAGGTTGTCTAATGATATTTCAGTGATTCCCCTTCCTCTCCCACCACCAAGTTTTTAAAAACAATCCAGCCTGCGTGTGAGAGAGAGAGAGAGAGAGAAAAGAGAGAGATCCAATTTTAAAGCACAGCTTCCTGCTGCAGGGGAATGGGTCTGACTCACAGCAGGACTGCGCCGATCACTCGGGAATAGCGTGGACTGGGCTCCCGGCATGCCTCCGCATGTGTGTGTTAAACCAAATGTCTGCAGGTAGAGAGTGTTCCTGAAGAGAGCTGGGAGAACAGGGGGTCGCACAACATTAAAATAAAAGGCGGCTTCTCCAGGCACAGATGAGCAGAAGCTCCAGAATTTCACCTCCCACCCTTTTGCTTTTGTCTTTTGCTGACTGTGCCCAGCTCCGACAGGAACTACTCTGCTGGCTTAGTTCTGCGGAGATGCCCCCACTGGTGTTCACGTGTGTGGACAGAGAAGCAGCTTGGGCTAGTGGCTCGGGCACTGGCGTGGGACTCAGATCTGGGTTCTATCCTGGCTGACCTCGGACAAGTCTCGTCCCCCTGTAGGTCCGTCTACACAGCCAGCAGTAAGGAGTCTTAGAGCCTGGGTCGACAGGCTTGGGCTACTGCACTAAAGACAGTGGTGTGGATGTTGCAGCTTGGGGTCTGGAGCCCCCCTCCCTCCCCGGGCGTCAGAGCCGTAACATTACACAGCTGATGGTAGTGCGGGAGACCAAGTCTGGCGACCCAGGCTCTGAGACTTGCTGTGTAGACATACCGAATGGGTCTCTGCTGCACCACCCACACTTCATCCGCCTCGTGTATGTAGAGTCTGAGCTCTTTGCCGGCAAGGACTTGTCTCTTATTCAGTCTATGTACAACACCAGGGCGTAAATTCTCACCAAGTGTTTCCCGGAGAGTCGGGGCTTCAGCCCGCGGGAGGCGCCAGGATTTGGGGTTTCAGCCCTGCAGGAGGTGCCGAGGCTCTGGGCTTCTGCCCCACAGGGCATGCTGGGGGTCCATGGGTTTGAAAATATTTACTGGAGCTTCTGCTCTGGACAAGCTGGCTGAATTTAAGCTCTATAGCACTTACCACAGTGGGGCCCAGACCTTGGTTGGGGCTGCTGGCCACTCCTGCAATACAAATGCTAACAACAATAATAATGCGTGGGGGGGCGTCAGTGAGAAGCCAGCCGAAGGGCTCACTGTGGCTGACGTTGAACCCAAGGGCCTCGATGACCTTTGCTGAAACATGGCACATGGTAGACATGTGAAAGAGAAGTGCTTGCTAAGACCTTGGCTTTTGTACCCAGTCAGGGCTCTGCTCCCTGGATCACCACGGTTTAAATGACCAGAAAACCAGCCAGGGCTAGACACGCTCTTTATTTAAACGTACGTTATTTAGGGCGAGGAGGTTGGTATATTTTATTTTTGTCTCCCTGCCAGCGGCGTGTGGAATGTTTTGTTTATGTTGCTTGTTCTCCTCCACTGGTGATCTGAGAACAAGAGAAGACCATTGTGTAGCTGGAGCTCGGAGATGCAGTTCAGACTGTTCTCTCTGCTTTTCACCCTTTCGTTTCCAGTTTGATCGGAAGTGCTGGATTTTGCCTTAAATTACCAAGGAGATTTTGGGGCTTTTTTTCAAGGAGATTCTCTGTAGGCGTTTGGAGGTGAGAGGGAGCCACCCAGCCGGGCCACCGTACACTTATTTACATTGTGGAAGACTGTAAGAAATGGGATTGACCCTCGGCTTTCCCATCTTCATTGCGCAATGTACCAGCGACCTCTTGGTAGAAACCTTCCCTGATCACTCTGCCCTGGGCGATGAAGAGAAGATAGGAGAAGAAGTGGAAATGAGAAAAGGACACCTATGACATCAAAGTACTGGGAGCTGAGCTGACAGGCAGGGGATGGTACAATCTCTCCCTGTCTACTGTTTAGTGATTCTTGGCTCTTAGACACCTGTGACAGGGTGGTGTTGGCAGCTCTAAACAGACCCCTTTTGGGATCCTGCAGCCTGGTCCCTTACAACAGGCACAGCACCGAGTCTGGCTAGCGTGGAAGGGAGCTGGGCAGTCTGACTGGTCTGGAAGGACAGCGGGGATCACAGTCACTTGCAGGGGGTGTAAGGAGTTAACGAGGTAATCAGCTCACCAGCTGGGATAAAAGGCTGAGCCAGGAGCAGGGGGAGGCCCCTCTGCCCGGGCGTGGCTCACCAGAGAGGACATGCTCGTAAAGTCACTTCGGGAGAGGACCCGGCGGAGTGTGTGCTGTGAAATCACCAGGAGGACTGGCCCGCCAGGGTTTCCAGGGCTGGAGGGGAGTTCTACACCCAGGGGTGCATTCAAAATGCCTGTCACTGGGGGTTTCAAAGTAGTCTAAGGGGATTAGGTACCCACGTTCCATTGAAATTCAATGAGATTTGGGGACCCAATTCCCTTGGGTTCCTTTCAAAAATCTCACGGAAGTAGATACAGCAGATGTGGGATGTCAGTAGATAATGCACTGTCAGAACTGGCTGCTATGCAACAAGCGCCATCACTGTTAGTAATTATTTGGGATCTGTATTACGGTAGCGCCGAGAGTCCTAAGTCAGGGATCAGGGCTCCATTTTGCCGGGCGCTGTTAAGTCTAAAGAGAAAAACCAGACAAACCAATCTAGACATGACCAGGCGTAATCTGTGCTACAGCTCAATGGGGAGAAGCTGCCGGTTAGATTTCCCCAACCCTCTTGTCCTGTTCTTTAATCAAGCCAGCCCCACTCTTCTCTTCACTCCTCCCAGAGCATGTGCCCCAAGCAGGCCAAAGTGCCCTCCAGTCACCCTGCCCCACTCAGGCGGGAGTTTTTCTGTCCCCGCCTCCCCCATCCGTTAAGCAGATGCAGAGTGGCAGACCCTCGCTATTGCGCTCGGATCCAGTGACACGCCATAGAGAGCTAGACTGAGCGAAGTCCCAGAGGGTTGCTCTGTTTTGCGTCATGCACACTGCAGCCCTGGTTCTGGTGCAGGGGAGAACAGCAACTCTCCAGGAGGGGAGCCACTGGCTTGCATCTCACTGGTGACTGATCTATTTGGGGAAAATAAAACAAACAGAAATCGCTCTGGGAACAGCTGGGAAATGTCTTTTTTTAGCCACTCAAGATCAGGTGACACCAGCCCCGCATGCATTGGATGGTCTTTGCCAATGTAAAATAAATATGTCAGTTCTCTAAAGTGACCCCTTGGCCTCACCGGACAGAAGATACTGAACACTTGCAGTGAAATCCTAGCCCCACGGAAGTCAGTGGCAACCCCCACATTGAGTCAATGGGGCCAGGGTTTCATCCGGGATATTTTGCTTTGTGTCTCAGTGAGGTGGGAGCAGTGGCAGGAGTCACGGCTGGCCGGGGGCTGGGAACATGGAAGGCGGAAATGGAAAGGC